TATTGTCTACACTCTATTCTGTTATGGAAAACAAACAAACAGATAATACATCTGTCTTAAACAACTCCCATGACTGAGTCACCATAAAATACTCTTGACCTCAAGAAACAGATTTGTTTTTGGCACGCTGAACCACTAGAGGGTAGCAGAGTAACATGTTGTGGGTGTGTGAAGCTTTCACATGGTACCTGGAGGACAAGAGCGACAGAGAGCAGCACACAGGCCCCACAGCAGATCCCAAAACCACAGAGGAGGAGCGGCCGTCGTCCCGTGGCCTCCACGATGAAAACCTGGTATAACAAATTCCCTGTTCAGAAACAATTGACACAAACAACAGACTGTAGATTTCACCTCCTCCCCTCAAAGGTTTAATTGTTACATCTTATCAAACTTTAAGTGAACAGGACACCTACAGCAGCTATGGTCATGAAGACATTGGTTGCACCTGTTCCCACTGTGACATACTGGATTTCATTCTGCTTGACTCCTGCAGTGCCATATATGCTATCTGCATAGTAGTAGATCTGAGTAGAAAGAGATGAATGCGTTACAGAATGAGTTAGAGAACAGAATTAAACATAAAAAGGAGGATGCAACAGTGAAAATAGACCCTGTTTTATGCCTTAATGCTTTATCCAAATAATTCAAAGAACATTAGATCTACTGCAAGAACAGAAGAAGTGGTTGTTTAAACAATGAACTCTAATCTGGCATCATCTGAGTCAGTGTGGGCATCAGTGGGTCAGGGACAAGGATAACTGGCGTGACTCACTGCATTGATCCCCGACAGCTGCTGGCCCATGTTCATGATGATGATGGAGACCAGCTGCCAGCGAAGGGAGCGCTGGGACAGCAGGGTTAGCACAGACATGTGGCCCTCGGCCCTCTCCGACTGCTCCTCCAGACGCATCTCTGACAGCTCTGCATCCACGTTGTCCCAGCCACGCAGACGCATTAGTGCTAAGGCACAACATACAGAATACCATAATATACCATTTCTATTGCTACTTTTTATTCACCAGGGTCTCCCTCGGTCTCCACAGAAGGTATTTTCTTACCTTTCTTTACTGCCTTCTCATCTCCTCTCTGGATTAGCATGTACCTGGGGCTTTCTGGGAAGAAGGGCAGCAGCAAGAGTTCTATCAGGGCAGGAATACCGGTCAAACCCAGCATGAGGGTCCAACCTGGATACAGAGGGAACAGGGAGACACATCTTTTACCAGTGGACTCTCTCTCCCGAGTCTCCCAAAATCAGCTGTCAAGGATGTACATAAACATCTAACCAGTGCAGGATGTGTAACATTTACCTGTGCTGTTGCCCAGTATGTTTCTGATGCCCAGCACCTGTGCACTGAGGATGCCAATGGTGATGAAGAGCTGTGGTATGATGCCAAGGGCTCCCCTCAGGTTTTTGGGAGAGAGTTCACCCAGATACATGGGCACCACGTTGGATGAGAGACCTTCAGACAGGGAAAGACAATTTAAGACACATAAAGATTAATCTTATCAATAATTACTTGAACAATTAAACATGCAGACCTGCACAGATGCCCACTATAAACCGAGCCACAATGACAATCTCATAGGACTTGGCAATCTCACTGACTCCCATCATCACAGCAGGGACGATAGAGAAGATGTTGTTGAAGAGGAGGGTGCCTTTCCTGTCACAGGATTGATGCATTTAAAGTCATGTCAGACAAACCGGTATACAGTTTTTTCTTGTGCACGATAAATGGGACATAGCCACTCTTAGATGGGGCGTAACATTTAGCATCACCTCCCAAGTTTGTTGACCAGAGGAGCCACCATGAGAGAGCCGAAGAAGCCTCCTAGTGGGTACATGGACACAGAGAGAGACCACAGCAGAGTAAGGAAGTTCTCCTCCATTGGCCTGCCGTAACGCTCCAGGTAGGTGGTATTATAGAACTGCTGCATGAACTAAAGAGAGCAGGACAATGTTGATAGAAAACACATCTTCATATATGAGCCACACTGGCCTTTATATCAGTGTGTGTTACAGTCAAGCTTTTGGTTCTTGGGTTACCGGTGATGGAGAGTTGATCACAGCCACGTTATAACCATACTGGAATGATGAACCAAATGCAGATATGAGTGTTGCCAATGCCAGGACCACGGTTAATCTCTGTTTACAACACAAACATCATCCATCATTATTACACTATTTACACACTGTCACAGAACAGACAACAGAAACATCCACGTGATAATCACACCTGACATGGAACTCACCCCTCTCCTCTCCACAGGCTTTCCCCGTTCCTCGTTCTCCACCATGGCTAAGGTATGGACTTGTTGTCTCTTTCAGCAATAATAACTGCACACTTTGTTTGTACTGCAACGCTGGATTCCACCTGCCCTTTGGACACAAGATCAGAGAGTGTAGCAGTGGTTTACAGCTTGGCTACGGTTATTCGTTTTCATGTTGCTGACTGTGCTCTCTGTGTTCAGGAGGTTTTGTATGCAATACACTCAAGATATTAGATGTTTCCCTGGGCTGAATGTTGACATCGGATACTTTTATTGCACTGCACCTTCCTATAAATTGGTGCAATTGATGATATCTACAGCTGTCAATAAAGGCTGGAGTTATGTTATCATCAAAATGATAAAGCTCCATGAGCATCTTTATTGCTCACCCACCTGCAGGCTGGATTACAGAAGGGGTGTCATTACAAAATGACAACACACTGCTGAAATCACTAACAGTTGGCCCAGACTTCAGTGTTGATCTTTGCACAGTTTGAAGATCTGTTCTCATGCTGAACACAGTTAATCTCACACTGATTACTGAAAAGACAACTTTTCTGCAGAAACAAACTAGCTGCGTATGTCTTTTTGTGTTTGCTTTATGCTCAATATGTCATGTGCTGCATTGCCCCCTTATCTCTAAAGCCTAGAGTCTGTCAACGCGACTGCCCCGAATCTGTTTGCTCTTAAAAAAGGATGTTTACAAACAGTCAGTAAAATACCGCAAAAGAGTAAGTAAGTAAAGCAGGACGAGCTGTAGAAATTTAACTAATACAAAAGTCAAATGTTTTTTGGAAGGCCATTTATATATATTCATACATTTTTTTAAGGAATGATGAGACCCAACAGATGTTCTGCATTTAAATTGTTCTAACATAGCTTGTTACAACAGCTTGTTAACAGAGAAATCAAAAGCTTAGTGTTAGATTTAAAAAGATGGGGGGGGGGAGTGTCTTTAATCCAGTTGAATACACAGCGGGATGACTCATAGCTGGCAGTGTTTCACTGGATTTCTGGCACTGCTTGTTTTTACTAGATTTGGCGAACAGGTGCAATTAAACTAGACTCAGATATTCAGAGGAGTGAAACCTTGTAACATCAAGTTTGGTCCAAATAATGGAGCCAGTTTGCAGCATCCCTCACTAGGAGAATGTATTGTAAGGTTGACAGGGAATTTAGAAACTGAGTTGACCGTGAATTTTAGAATGAATGTATCTAGTGTTTCTGATGTTTTCTGTTACATGTGTAAACATTGTTCTGTTACTTTTAATTAAAATGTCCTCTCGCAGCTCTGACCTATTGCCCAATACCTTTGGTGGACAGTTTGAGAATTGGCTCGAAAATCCACAGCCACAGCCAAATGTACCGCCTGTGTTGTAACAATAAAAAGACTTCCATTAACTTGACTGGTGAATGGTCACCCCAAGCGGTGTAATATGGCCCTCTGGTACTCTTTAACTTAATGAATTAAGCAGGCGGAGAGCCAGCAGAGGAGAGAGCAGAAACCTCTTCCTTAAGTGTTTCCACAGGCTCCAGTTACTTCAATGTCAGCCAAATCTCAAAACAGACACACTGGATTAATTCCTGCAGGAAATACAGTAAGTGTGGGCCCTCTGTGTGGCCTCTGCCGTCCTCAAGGACAAAAAAACACTGGCCGTTTTGGATGTCATCAGCATAAACAGCGCTCACTTCCTCCGTTTTCCCAGACATGGTGTCCAGTGCTCACTGTTAGTGATTGTCCTGAGAGAATGAACGGTGCACGGTGTCGCACTACTTTAGACCGCAGATAAAATTAGACTGAAGGAAAACTCGAACTCATAAATAAAAACTGCTTATTTATGTTTTTAATATTTTCAGTGTAAACAGTATAATGTCTCCGTGTTCTGGAAATAAAGTATGAGAACTAACTGCCCTCGTAAGAGCAGTGTTGTTGCAGGGTAATGGGAAGTCTGTCTGACCTGATATAAAGGTTTATTACAAAAATAACGTCCACTTCTGCATTGCCTAATTCATCAAACGGCCCAAGAGACCATATAAGATCCATAAATTTACTTACCATGATGACAGCTACGTAAGCCCTCCCACATAAGCGCTTGCCCTCTGTGAGAGTCAAACAATAACCACTTGAGGATAAGAGAAAATTGGCTGTCAACATGGTGGAATTTCTCCGTCCTCACCTTTCCCAATAATCACCACATTAATGAATCTTATTTGAACGTAGCTCGTCATCTCTGAGGTAGAATCATTAAGATTCAGTGGATCTCAGACTATAATTTAAAGAGCTGAGGGAACTATAGGAAGTGTCATTGCGGTTGTAAGCCAGGTCAGCCCCTCATGATCCCCATCGGGTTCAGTGGGTTCATACTCCTTGTTGGTATGCGTGGGGCCTGTGCTCAGTCGGGCAAACTGGAGCCAACAACAGCAGGGGTCAAAGGAGAAGTAAGGCTCACAGGAAAGGCTCGGGTTTCAAGGAGGAAGGATAGCATGTGATGATAGGTCATACATCCTTACCACAATGACAGTAACGGTATCAAGTTAATTTTGGTGACACGTCAAGTACTGATGGGCTTTTTGCAACAACTGTCTTAAAAGTGTTGCAACTTTGAAGTTAGGCAATTATTAATAGGCTTTAAAAACTCAAAGACAAAGATGTCAAGGGAATCAATACCTGATATAAGCATCACTGGAGAATGTGACTCTGGTGTACATGCGTACAAGTGAATTGAAGACATATTGTAATTTTGTTTATTTGAAAGTGACAGTCAGATGTAATCAGGTTTCTTGCACACAAGCTTTATCAAAACATTTTAAACACGCTCAAAGACATATTGGATATACATTTGGAAATCATTTTATTTACCCACAACCTTCTTCGTATGTTAAAAAGACTCATTGTTTCACCAAAATATGACTGAGCTGCATCCATGTTCAATAAAGTCCTGTAACAGGCAGGGTATTTAGCCATGTTTGAGCATAACAATGACTGAGCATACAGACTGACTGCAGAGGAGTACAGTACTCAAGAATATGGTGCAAGACTGGAATGACAAGTTTTTACAGATGTTTTGATAAAGCTTTTTTCTGCTATGAATCCACTCTGACAGGCCGACCACATTTTCTCTTTTCTGTGAAGAAAACTAACTTCTCAAAGCCATCTCACCTCTCAAGAGACAACATATTACTTACCATAACTCAATCAGCAGTTAAAAGGTGGGTAATCTCTTCCCCCATAAATACAATCCTTGAATACTCAGTGGAAAAAGCAGAAAACTCAATATTCATTTCACAGTGACAACCTCAGAAGGTAAGTGAACCCACACAGTAAAAAAAGTAATAAAAGTAATAACTTAAAAGTGACAAACACTTTTAGGTTTGATAGACGGCACATATAAAAAACTACAATATGTATGTCCAGTGTGTCAGTCTGCAGCACTTAAAATGCTTCACCAAATGTTGGGGTGCAGCCAGTCAAAGTGCACCGCACTTGCTGTAATGAGGCTCAATGTGAAGCAGAGGAGACCTCCACCGCTCCCCTTCATCAACCTTTGTCTAGGTTCACATCCACAGACTCAAGTATCATCTGTCGGTCTGGACTCATCTGGTGCCATCTTCTTCTCCCTGTGTGGGGGTGTCCTGTCCCGGCAGCAATCTGTGAGCGGCGCCATGCGAGTGCTGCACCTCTGTTCGACACCTGGAGCGGCAGCAGAGTGCCGTGCAGAGGCGTGCACGGAGAGGCTGAGTAAACAGTACAAACATGATGCAGTTGGCTGCTCCCTGTGAGGTGTTGCCAATTCCCTGTTGGGTAAAAATAAAATCCTTTAAGGAGAGTGTAACAGCGATAGATTATGACATTAATTAATGGTAAAAATGGTTACAGTAAACCAGTTAATATGCTACAATTCAAATGTTCAAAAGTATCAGTTGACACAGGAACATTTTGCGATGAACGCATGATGATTTTCAGGCTTCATGCACACCATCACCAAGTTTAACAGCACAGTAACAGCGCACACATAAACCCACACATCTTCTTGTGCTGTCATACACGCAAAACAACTCACACACAAAATCTAAAAAGGACAAAGCAATATTAGCAGGAGAAGTAAACTGTAGATTTAAAATTGTGATTAGTAGACAGCCTCTACATGGGACATCATTGCAAAAGAAACATTAAACTCACATGTAGAGTGACCAGCACAGGGTTCTGTCTGGCTGAAGAGCCGGCTAGCAGCAGTATGAAGCGTACTGTGCTCCAAATGCGCAGGAAGATGAAGATAACGGGAATGAGTGTTAGCTTCATATCAGCCATGGAGGAGAAGGAGTGGGATGAAGGCCTGTTGGCCAAGATGGGACGGTACTCGGACAGGGCAGCATGCTGCGACAGGCAGAGTTTTATTTAAACATGAAAACATGAAGCGGAAAAACAACATTAGGAATTAAAAAAAAAAGATAATGAATGGGTCATCAGGGGTATCTTCAATGAAGATGGTCCTGGAAGTGATGGTGTGGCCCCCACAGAGCCCTGATCTCAACATCATCGAGTCTATCAGGGATCAAATGAAGATAGAAGCAACTGAGGCTGCCTAAATCCACAGAAGAACTGTGGTTAGTTCTCCAAGATGTTTGGGCCAACCTACCTGCTGAGTTCCTTCAAAAACTATGTGAAAGTGTACCCAGCAGAATTGATGCTATTTTGAAGGCAAAGGGTTGTCACGCTAAATATTGATATGATTTTCTTCTGTTCACTCACTTTGCATTTTGTTAATTTATAGATATAATCTATTAACATGTCTATTTTTGAAAGCATTGTTACTTTTTAGCATTTTCCCACACTTAAAACCTTTGCACGCTGCTGTATATGTATTTCACAACATGGCAGCCATGAGAGGCAGACATGTAGCTGTAGGATAGAAAAATGAAATTAAAAACCTTTGTAGGTTTAGTTTTTGATCCAAACATTTTCTATTTGTGTCTTAAAACAACAGATTTGTGTTTGGCCTCTAAGGTATTTGTTCTCTGAATGCTTTCTACTTTGAACTGTGTTTAATATATTCTTTTGTTATATGTATAAAATACACAATTCCACTGCTGCTACCTTTGCTATTTTTGTCAAAAGTGCTAGCAAGTAGCTGGTAAAAACCTGGTTTGGTCCTCACCGCTATGTGGATATGCCTCTTGATCAGGATGTAGAGGATGGGGAGGGTGAGGTAAGCCAAGAACTCCCAGATCTTTCCAGTCAGCAGCATCCACAGCACATGGTCGGGGGCGTGGATCCTGACCCAGCACCAGCCCACCGAGACCTCTGACGCATCATAGCCAATCTTATTCAGGGACACGGCTGCAACAGTGATGGCCAGAGGAACACCCCAGCTAGACCACAAAACAGAGAGTTTAAAGGATTAAACTTCCTCAAAGGTCAACTTCCACTTCTTTAAAACACCTCCACAAATGTTGAATATAAATGTTTGGTGGGTTAAGACATGTGACGCTGCATGATAGATTATCTTTTGCTTAAGGCGTGTGTGTGTTACACAGTGTACACTGCAGAGTCATACCAGTTGCATGGCTTTAGCTGTGTTCATGCTAAAACAGATACATAAGCATAAAATGATTTCAGCACCTTAAGAAGCGATGTCCCCCTGGAGCATTACATCCTCTCTATAAACATCAATTTAAAAGAATACTATATTATCATGGTAATACATGGCAGATCACCATGAATACACCAGTGCTTACGACTGTGTTGTGTGTGGGTGTTACAAACCCTCGATGAATGGTTCTGTTGTGTGATCTTCAATTCAATGGGGCATTTGAGAACTCACAGAGGCAAACTTAGAATGACCACACACAACACAGACACTGCGCTGCTGCGTACCCCAAGGGTGAAAATGTTCTTGCGTCCAAAAATAGATGCAGCACAGTAAATCAACTCCCTCCTTACATTTTCACAATCAACATGGACAGGTCAATAATGTGCAGAAGGGAAAGCTGACACAAAGGACAGAGCATACGTGCCTTTCAGAGCATTTGATTCTAGCTTGGAATAAAAGCAAGTGGCTTGCTAGCGAACGACCTTTAAACAGATCCATTTGAAGAAACCTTGTTTGATGAGGTTGTGAGCCTGAGAAACCCCAAGCTAATGAGTTGTGTAGCTGTTATTTCTAACAGTTTTTGTGGCTAATAACCCAAACCTAAAACACAGGAATGATATAATAGGTCAGCCCATCAGTATTGGGGGATGAATTAAAATAATGAAAGATGTCTGCATTTTGGAAACACTAAAGTTCTGCCTTTTTTGTGTGGTACATCAGGTATAATTTCAATGATCAAATCTAATAATTTTGCCAATCTAATCTGTTTAAATGCAACATATTCCAACGAAAGATGATTATAGAGGCCTATTGTTAATGTCTACATTTCCATGACTTTTAAAACCCTTTGTGATGATTTAAGGGAATTGATTTTTCCCTTATGATTGTGTTTTCCCTTAAGGCAATGCTGTAGCTGCATTATAAAGAGATGCTCTCAATAATCCACCTGCTGTGGAACAAATACACAAGCAAACATGAAGAAAATGCAATGTCAAAATAAATGTTACACATGCCTTTTGAGTTAGGCCCATGTCATTTGTGCACATCTCCTGTAGGACTAGGCTACTCGAGACACACACATGAGTACAGTGTAGCCTTTTTTCTTTGAGCAAGCTTTACGTTAGACCAGTGCTTACAAACTAACCTGAAACCAGTTTCTATACTCGGGTCATGCTTAAGGAAGCGGGTGGCAAACTTTTTTAGTTTCAAGTAAATTCCGTTTAGCAGGGCGTGCAGTCATAACCCGGTAAATGTCCCAAGATGCTTCAGGGTACAAGTTCGACGGCATTCCATGAAACATAGCATAAACATCATAGCTAGCAAATAAATAACCAATAGTTGGCATAAAAGTAAAAAAGAAAACTTCAGCCAACCCAGGTAAGTTACCTGACAAGGTGGAAAAACAGCACCAGGCTTTCGGCGGCTCGCTGGCTGGACCTCACGATGAGCACGTACAGGTAAACGGCAACTGACACGGTCCAAAAGAAAGAGCTCGTGTTGGCGAAAGTGGAGATCGCTCCTTGCACGACGCAGTCCAGCGAGTCGGTGTGAAAAACTCTCCAGACCCCGTAGGCGTAGGAGACGGCGGACAGCCAGTCGGACACCGAGAGGCAGACCAGGAGCTTCCTCGGAGTTGTCCTCAAATCTGGCCAGATGAAGAAGGTGAGGATGATCAGCGACGAGCCCAGAAACGAAAGGGCGCACGAAAACAAAACTACCACCTGCTCGGACAACAACACAACTGTCTGATTTCCGTTTGCCATCGTTCAGTGTGATTTAAATACGAGCTGCAGTCACCTCATGGATACGAGTGTCACTGTCAAGACAAAATGCGCAAACACTCCTCCGACAAGCAGACTAGTCTGTGATGTTGTACATTTAGGATGTTTGCCGTTGTCTCCGCGTTATTTTCCCTTAAACGGGCGGCATTTAAAACACAGAGTCGAGCCATATGATTTAACAAACTTCATCCATTGCTTACATGGGAGCTAAATAAACTTTTCTTCAGTGTTTAACCCATAGATAAGGTTTAACCCCTCCCCCTGCCACCAGAGCTCTACCGGAACCCAAAGCAGAAGTCAGTCAGCTGGTAATGAGCAGACTCTCCTAGCTGTATTTTTGGCTCTGATGGTCTTCACTACTAAACAAATGGCAAGTTTGCCACGTAAGAACAGACACCCTGTCAATTGTCCCCTATTCCAAGCATGGTTTATCTAAAAACGATTCTGTTTTGTTGCTTGTGATTTCAAGCAGTCCAGTAAAGTATCTTTCATCTTCTTTCATTTTTAAAAATTTGCTTTAACATGTAAAATTGATGATGGTGTCCATAAGCCTTAATAACTAGAAGCTTTCCAATACAGTAAACTCGCTTTACAAAACACAAGGTGAAACTTCCAGCACAAAGGGTACATAAAAACTTCATTAGGTAAAGTAAGATAAACTAAGACGGTAAAAGGATATTTGCGCAAGGTTTGAATTTATACAATAAACTGAAAAATAATTTCTAAAGGCATTTGGAAGCCAGTGGAGGGACGCAGATGTCAGTAAAATCCTAGAAGCAGAAGCCAGCTGTGGATTCCATAAACAGTGCATTGCTGTAGTCTGTTCTTTTATGAAAATATCTTCTGAAAGCACATGTAGTAGTCATCCCCAAAATTGTATTTGGACTGCAACTAATGATTATTTCCATTATCGATAAATCTTTCAGGTTCTTTTTTGGGTAAACAGGATTAATTGTATGCTCAAATGTCTTAAAAATATAAAAAATACCCATATATATATAAAACACACACACACACACACACACACACACACACACACACACACATATATGTGTATAAAAAACAAAAAAACAGCAATTGTGATTGTCATTTGTGATTGTCATTTGTGCTTAGTAAATGATTGGGGTGATTAATCCAGTATTAAAAGTGTTGCCAATTAACTTTCTGTCAATTTAATAATTAATTAGTTGCCTGATCATTTCAGCACTAATAACTGTATTATGGATATTAAAGTATAACCAGAACATATTTGCATTTCTCAATATTCCCAAAGCCCTGTGCTGTATTGCTAACTGAACTGACTGATCCTAACTAAAACATCAGATTTTCACAGTTGGAAAACTGGGAAGCACACATTTCCTTTTGTGAGAGGCAGTTCACAGTAACGCATTGCATTATCCATCCAACATGTAAGCTTTCCATTGTTGGAAACCCTGAGACTGTCACCATCAGTGAACGGGGACTGTCTTGGGCAATAAAATCATTAAAAAATTATAATACAAATGAATTAAAATGCAGATAACTCTTTGGTGACCAAAGAGTTGAAGTGTAGGAAGATTTAAAGCCATAAAGCGGGGACCTCGTGGGAAATGCTTCTGCATTGCTGCAGCCCAGAAAAACTGCAACCCCTTTTTGTGTTTGCAGCAATACAGTGGCACATTGTCAGTTTTCCTGCAGTCTGCAACCGAACACATCCTCGTGATCATCAGAATCACACATGACAACAATCAGTTTTACAATACACACAAAAAAAATCCACCAAGTGTTAGTCTATCAGTCAATCGACTTCAGTAATTCTGGAGACAGGAGCCGTTCTTTTGGATGTTAAATCAGGAGCACACTGTACAGTCAGCTGCGTCTGCACGTGTGTGTGTGTGTGTGTGTGTGAAAACCTAAATTAGTGTGCACCTGGCATCCAAGCAGTTCTGCCTCATCGGCACTCATTAGTTCTAATGCGTTCATATGGCAACGTCATTTTTTTCAAGGGTCTCAAAGTGCTTTTACACACTGCAAAGTGGTTTATACAACACAAGTTTTCCATAATTATGAAATGCATGTGTACTGTGAAAACAAACAAGGCGAATGAATATATTAGTCTTGATGTAACTTTTATTTGCACCTTTTCATAATTTATGACATAAAGAAATGATAAGGCTGCATCTCATATCTACTATTGATGTGTTCGCATCCAGAAAAAGTACTTGTTACTAGAGGTATTACTGTTAAGCAAAATTAAATTTGATGACAAAAACAACATGCATTTGCAACTGAAAGATAAGGAATCTCAAGTCACGGTAAGCTGAGCCATATTTTCTGAATGAAAGGTATTTTAGACTCAATAAAAAAAAAATACTATGTAGGTTTTACAAATTGCTGTGGTGTTTAATGAACAAAAGCATGCTGGGAGGTTGTTTCCAATCACAAGATGGCAGCAGAGGATCATAACAGTACAACACCAATTGTAAATATTATAGAGGCTGTTCACAAAAAGGCCATGCTCTCGGTCGATATATGTGCAATTAATTCTGTACCAGGTCCAAATTTTTAGTTAATTGCAATATCGGCACACATGTAAAAACTCACAGTAGCAGCTGCAGGATCCATGTTTGCTACAATACTGATACGCGTTTTGCCTCCCTTTCTCTTTTCTCCCTGTGACGGCTGTGGGATCCCGGGGCTTCTCATTGCGAAGAATTTCTGCGGCAGTATACTTGCTGATTGCTTCGTTCTCACTCCTCACAACAACCAGCTAAGACACTGCCAGAGAAACACCCACAGGAGCCGTGTCCAACCGCCCGTCCCTCCGCCCGCCTCTCTCCGGCAGGATGCTGACTGGTCTTTGCAGTGCACCTCCACCTGTGAGTCTGGCAGTACGGACACTCACACTTTCATGCCCATCTTCTTCCTGGTGGTGGTTGTTGGACAGCAACGGCCTCACACTAAAGGCCCTCGGGGGTGCGGTGCTTCTGTGCCAACAGCCAGAAGCTCTGTAAGAAAAGTAGCGGAAAAAATTAGTTCATGGAATAAACCTAATTTGGTCGTATATGGATGTAAAATTAAAACAAATATCTGGTTAGATTCATTTTCTTTTTAGAAATCTTAAACAGTTTTAAAGAGGCACTCTCCCCTGCCCAACTCAGTTTTATATAACTGCGATGCATTGATAAGTCTGCGCTCCGCTGCCCAAAGTGACCCACAGCTTCTTCCCAGTCAGATTCCTAATACTCTTTTAGCCTTTTGTGCAGCATCACTTTAAGTGCACACAACTTGGGCAAACAAAAACACCCCCGAACTAAGAATAGACTTGCCATGACTCATGATTTTGCAACAAAAAGCCCAGTTTGATATAGCTCTCATCTATTTGTGTGTCTGCGTGTGGCTATCTGTTCATCCAGAGCACCATAATGCATGTGTGTTTATGTACCTAAGGGAGAGCAACTAAAATCCTCTCGCTATCAGTTGCGTTTGCTCGCTGCAGTGCTATTTTTGGGCCCGCTGACCATTCCACAGCGTCCTCTCCCTGTGGACTCTGATTTGCTGACAGGACAACACGGGTACTAGAGAGCGATCTGCAGTCACTAGCAAATGAACAGAGGGAATAATGAAGGAGGTAGAGGTGTCGGGAGGTATGTTTGGAAAGCATAGAGTTGGATGAGCGTCTCTATCTGGCGTATCCTTTTTAGTGTTGAAATCCGTAGCAAAGCTATTTGTAGAACTCCATCTCTGCTTTTGGTGTATTTTATGACGCAGTTTTGGTTGAATAAATTGAAATTCCTCGCTCGATTGGTGGTTGGAACATACTGACCTTATCTAATGTCTAATTTAAAAACTTCCAAGGAAAATCTTTGTGGTGCTCTGGTGCAAGTTTGGACACAACATGGCCCGCTGATCTTAACACTACATATTTATTTGTCTGCCTTAAACACACAGACACAAGTGACAGTGCACTAACAAAGAAAGACCCCTTGACCCGCATTTGGTTGCCGGATGGCTGCATCTGTGTCTCTTTGTGGTGAGCCAGACGCTGCCTTCACTGAGCACATGATGACAGGAATTCCTTCCTGCTCAGGGCTTGATGTAATCCCTAATACAGGATTGAGGAATGCCAGTGAAAACAACACCCTGCTTGCTAAATGAATGACTGCACTGACAGCAAACAGCAGCAGCAACGAGCCCGGACTCACATACCTGTGCCAAAATATGTTCAGCTGTACTGAGACAATTTTGTCTTTCTATTTCTATACTATTGGCCAAACAAAAAACAGTGGTAGGAAATGTGTTTACAAATACTAGTATGAGGTGTGGATGAATATTGCATTTTTTAGAGTGACTAGAAGTGCTTTTCAGGTTTGCCAGGTTAAAAGTGAATTTAACTGTTCTTTATGGATACGACATAGATATAGGCTTAAACTATAGATATTAATATAGAAGTAGCTATGTCCTTATAGGCAATGTTCATATAGTTAAAGGAGCAAGGAGCGGGATACTGGTGCAAATGTGATTGTGAGCTAGAGAGATATCCATTTTCGAATTTCCTCAATCACTTTTCCTTAAATCCAACGTGGCGTCGTCAAATGTCTTGTTTTGTGTGGCTAAGACTTCAAAACCCAAAGTTTTTAGTTTACTGTCACATAATGCACAGGAAAACCCTCGCAGTAGAGCAGCTGGAACTAGGAAATATTTTTTATTTACTTGAAAATGGCTAAAACGATTATCAAAAGATTAATTTTCTGTCAGATCGACCTGTCGTTTCAGCTCAAAACACGATAAAAGTTATATAAGCTGCATATTAGGAGTTATATTTGACAGATGCTCAATTAAATAATATGAGGTGCTTTTTTTAATCTTTTTTTTTTCAGATACCAAAAGTGGGATGACATATTTTGGTCACATTCTTAATCTCCTTTACCGAGTTGATCAGATATTTCCTATTTTTCCCAATTTTAATCATACTATTTTTAATTAATAATATTGAAGTCATCTATATATATTAATGTTGTTTTCTAAGGCAGTGTTCTTGCATTAAGATGACCTGAAATAAGATTAAATAAATTTGGCTTACTTTGTTAGAGAGCAAAATATCAAAAAAGTATAAATTGTACCGATTTTAGGTGTCTTACTGGCACCAGTGTCAAACTTAACCATAAAGGTGCCTCATCACGACCGCTAAACGCTTAAAAAATGTAATACAGATATTTATTTTTCTTAAAGGTTAATGTAAATTAATTGAAGTGATAG